AGTGAAATATATCTCGCCCAAAGGTACAGTAGAAGGATGAAGTTCCTTCAGTTTGCGATCGAGCTTTGTTCTCAAAACATTTTCTCAATGGTAGAAAGGCGGGTTAGAGACCATTCATAAAGTACAGGTAAAATTTGCGAAATGCATTCCTGTCAGGTTCATCGGGGGGGAACGTCCAACAGTTGAAAGGTGAAAGTGTTGTCGATGTCCCTTGAGAACCTTAGAAAAGGGGTTCATGTGGTCACGTGAATATACCGATGATATAATCATGTCGTTGGCATCGCTTCAGCGTGTCTTCCATCTCTGGCTTCTGCTTCACTCTCATATCAATAGACAGAACGACCTCTCCTAGGTTTCTCTTTTATTTTAGAAGGTCATCAGATGTGAGGAGTAAAGGTTCAATCTCTGACTTGAATTCACTGATTTCTCCCCAATCTTCATTTTCATTCACATCTCACTGGGACTAACCTACAATTCCCGGTTCTAGGCAGGCAGCAGCTCCATATCGGGCCTGAAGCGTTGCACATTCGCCTCACGAACATACAATTTCCAATTAGATATAAAGACACCTCTTCGCAGTTTTTAGACAATTTCTTTAATTGACTACTCTGTATTCTCTACGACCTTTCTAATTGCTATTCTCCCACTTTCTGCATCCAGAGTCAGCTTTCCTAGGTCCTTCCTTCAATTGGTACGTCAAAATGGCGTCGGTTCCTATCCTGGGGCCAAAGGATACAAACCTTCCGCAGGAGCCAGAAACGAAATCAGTGGAGCTTCTTGACCTCCCCGTCGAACTCATCCAGCTTTTCCTCCTCAACGCAACAACCCCAACATTCCTCCAAGCCGTGCTTTCGTGCAGGACCATCTATGATATTGCATCTCAATGTCGCGAAGTTCTACTTTACCACCTAGAGCGTGTGCCTGGGCTCTTGCATGGGCTCCCTGATGTGCCTAATGAGGATCTATTTTTGCTCCTCCGTAGACGGGCATGCGCACACCTCTACGGAGCCAACTTTTACGCAGACAAAACTACTTTCAACTTTCCGGATGCCGAGAGCGGGGAAATAGGTGGCATTAAGGTGTCGGCCTCATCATTTGCGACCTTCTCATGTGAGATCAACACTGCTCTTGTTAGGAAGGGTGGTGATGCTAGCGACGGCTGTGATGAGGTTTATCTCTATCATTTACAGGGGCAACAAGCCCGCATATCCGGCATACTTGTCCCACCATACGACCACCCTGGAAAGGTGGAAATCCTGAAGACCCGCATCACAAGACCATGCCTAGTATCTGTTTTGCAGCAATATACTCCGACGAGTGTGTTTAATCAGGACAGTCGTCTTGAGTCTGCGCAGACAAGACAACTACTGAGGCCTTTCCGAGAAAAGGGAATCCATCTGGTTCAGCATAGACTTGATTCCGATGCCGCTTCAGATGTGCAGGAGCCAATCGTTTTCGCATTTCCAGACCATTTCGACCACATCCCCCTTGCCATGGCCGTCGCGAATGAGACTACCTTCGCAATCTCCTGGGAGCATATAAACGATTCGTATTCGCATGAGGTTATAATGTACGTAGTGGATGATGAGGAGCTGGTGGATGATTCCAATTTGGTTTCTGGGGTGAGGTGTAAGTCCGGAGATCTACCCCCTGAGATATCTTCTCGTGGCTAACATCATATAGACATCAGTTGCTCAGGTGTTGTTGTTGTCGACTCGCAAGGGTCGGTGCCTGTAACAATCAAAAATGACTATATAGGGATGCGTCCAACAGGTCCCGTTCAGCCGGAGCCATCTCCCGTCACTCATCTTGAGTTTGGCGACCAGGACAGTCAGTTACTCTATAACTTCGGAGCCTCTTCAATGCACAAAAAATATCAAAATTTCGAATACTCTACCGTTGAAGATGTACTGGCTACCGAAATATTCCCCAACCAATGCTCTGTACGTTTCACGGGGCGCTTGACCCTTCGGTTTGAGATTGATCTACCGTTTTTTGGGACGCATGAGACATCTACCCCAAATATTCAACCCAATATCTGTACATGGAAATACCTCTCCATCGGAATCGCAACGCATCGAAGGGAAGGATGGACCGTCGCGTGTTTGCTCAGGTCCCAAGCCCATGTCCGCTACACCCGCTGCGGACACGTCATGAATTTAAAGCGCGGCCGCCGTTTCAACCAATGGCTTGTCGTTGCGCGGCTATGGGGTTATCGCAAACCAAGCGACTCAATCGGAGGCATTATCGCTACTTCGTCGGGTGGCACGCGTATAGCCATCGCTAATTGGAACGCCATTTACGTCTGGGCATTGAACCCACATGAGATTATCGAGGAGAATGAGGCGGGGTATTACCGTACGCCGCGCGCCACGTCTACTTCCCCATCATCATCCTTTTCATCGCCATCCCCCAACGCAGAAGAAGTTGAAAAGGCCCGCAACAAATCGGCAGCGTTGGATGAGACGGATCCTGGGATGGTGGAATTGAAACCCATCGTGCTTCCTCTTGAGGCGGTCTGTTTTAAGCTTCAATTCGTTGAGGGGGAGGAAGATGAGCTTGTCGCTTTGACGGATAGGGGGGCTATGTCGTGGAGTTTGGGGCCGAGTGGGAAAGGGAGGAGGGATTTGAAGCAGACTTTACCCATTGAACCTAGTTATAGTGATGATGGGAGTGATGACGGGAGCAGGGATGGCAGTGATGATGAGAGCGAAGATGGGAGCCGTGGAAGTGAAGAAGGGGAAGAGGAAGATGAGGTGGAGGAGCAACCAGCTCGGAAGAAGCTGCATGTTACGGGCGAAGCTGAGTGAGCTGTGGTCGATGGAGTGGATGGATGACTGGCTGGATGGTGCTTTTCTCCTCCTTCGTTTCGTCCATCAAATGATAAACACATATATATTCGGAGTTACGCGGCATGGCTCGGAGTCTATATTATATAAACCATATAAAATCAAGGTCATCCATGGATTCATTTCCATGCTTCTAGCGGCAATTGATGTACAAATTTCTTTCTTTCATCATTACGATTATGATCCTGCTGCTAACGCTCTATTTTTCTCCACCGCCGGATAAGACAAGGAAAGCTCCGATTAAGAACACCCACCAGTATCTGTCGTAGAAAAAAAAGGGTTAGCAAACTAAGATATCTAGTAGAATCGGAACTGGAGTATAGGCTCACCTCTGGAAAAGCGTCTTCTCCTCTTCCTCTCCCTGCTCGTCATCACCACCCTGCTTCGGAGCTACAGGTTTACTGAGCTGTGGGGTGGCACCGGCACTTGCGCGGAGGAGCGCGACTTGCAGAGCGTCATTTAACTTCGACTCCGTCGTCGCGGAGGTTGAGGATGGGGAGAGTGAGACGTGGTATATTTCCTCTGGCTTGGAGGGGTTTAAGTGCAGCGTTAGGGTGGAGTTATCGCTTGCGGGTGGTGAGAGGGAGGAGGCCGATGTGAGTGTTCCGGTCCATTCTTTTGTGTCTTTGTTGTAGAGGCCCAGACGGGTTAGGTTGTCGTCGGTTGAAGAGGATGATGGGTTTGGTGCGTGGTAGGAGTTTAGGGAGGTGGTGAGGGTCGTTGGGTCGTAGGATATTTCGGCGAGGAGGGTGGGTTTGTCGGCTGTTAGGGGCCAGGTGAATATCGAGGTTGAGAATGGGAGGGACGCGGCGAGGGTTGTGGATGTGGTGAGGGCGATGATTAGGAGGGAGAGGATCGGGAAGAACATGGTGGAGACTCGTCTATTGCTTCCGCTTCGCGTCCACTCCACTGGTTATTGCCTTGTCCCTGCTTTGGGGGTAATGGGGGTAAAGCTGAGTCGCTGGCGGAGCGGGATGCTGGTGAAGCGACATTGAAGCTTTCGAAGTTTCCGGATATGATCACGTGCTGAGCCACAGCCAGTATTGCGGACTAAAATCGGACCGAGAAGTCAATCCCGAGCCGAGAGGTAACGTGACACGGGTCCGATCAGCCTCGTCTCGAGGCTTTGAACCCGAAAAACAAATCCTCCGAATGCGGCGAGCATTTTAAATACCCCGCCTCTTGTTGAGCCCTTGGTTGGCTTCAAACCAGGGTCAGTGAAGGAGTGAGGCGATAAGCCGGCCATTGGAGATTGAACATTCCACGGTGTCCAGAGTTGATTAAACAACTAATAAGTCGTTCAAGATACATATGCGCCACCGGGAAAGTCTGCCAGGTATCTCCTCTTGATCCCAACATTCCCTCAAAGCTCAAGCACCGTGAAAAAGCGATCAGCAAAGCTTTATCATGCATCCCAAAGATAAGGAGTGGGGGTTCACGTCCTCAGCCAAAGAGGTCCGATTTCAGGGTTTTCAGCAGAACCAGTTCATGAATCAGGCAGTCTGCGATTCGCTGGGTAACCGGCGCCATGAGTTGTCCAGGCTTGCCGTTGTCAGGAGGGGCCCACTCACTAACCCTGCCCGCATGCGTCGTGCATACTTACTCGCCATCGGGAGGAGAATATCAACCCTGGAGCTCGAGAGGGAGAGAGGGAGAGAAATACGGCTTCCCACATTCAAGTGATTTGTGGTTTGTACGATGGTCACATATTATTTGGTTGCATCCCGCGGACGTGTCCTTGAATTATGCGACTACCAAAATGTTCAAAGCTTTTTCATTCAAGCTGATTATAGCAAGACGCTGCGAGGAACACTTACCCCCAATTCAAGCCTGTGCATTCGTCGGGAGTATACATATATCGATTCATTCTCTTCTCAAATGCAATACTGAAGCCCTGGAACTATTATCATGGGGCTCATTTAAACTATACCCCGTCGGAGACTCCCATCAAAAACTCGTCGGTAGATTTCAACGAACAAGAGAAATGAGGTTTCGGGGAGGTGGAATTAACCTTAAAATTTAGCTAGGGTTGTGCCCTAAGCCCTATCTCACTGGGGCGGAAGATTGGAAATATCGATAGCAGAGAAGAGCAAAAAAAATAAAATATGGAACCGTCGAAAAAAAAAAACATCCAGAAGGATGAGCAATTTAAGGTCGACGTGGGGATCGAACCCACAACCACTTGATTCGTAGTCAAGCACTCTACCATTGAGCCAGCCGACCGTTCTTATGTATCTGTGCTAACCTGTTTTCCTCTATTATTAACCGAAAGGTTCAAATCCCAAACGACATGGTTCTGGTCAACCAGTTGCGGGGAAGGAAAAGTGGGATGGAAAGTCAATCGTTCCCAGCATCAACAGCCAACAGGGAGTGAGTGGAACAGGCATCCAGACCAGATAAAGGACCGTCTCGAATCCTAGCATCCTTGAGGAGGCAAAAACAACGATCAACAGCGCCAGAGACAAGCTAGAAAGAAGTGGGACTGGGAGAGAAAAAAAAGGATAGACGGTGAGAGCTCTCCTTGCACCTGTTGGGGGGTTCAACAGGTACGAAGTGGGAAAAGAGATGGGAAGGCCGCACACAGGATCACCATCCTTCTTCTGCCCTGAGGACTCGTTCAATGACAGTTTTTATTAATTATTTAATTCTGATCCGCCTTATCTGTTGACCTTTCACTTCCCTTCCCTCTCTCTTCAACAAGTATCTTAATTGCTGTGTGTTGTACTTCTTTGCCTAGAAGCTAAGGGTGGTGACGACACACATCGTGAGATTTGAAGCGACCAATTCCAGTTTCCCAATTTCTCGCCCTCGCTCGTGTCTCGGCCCTGAACCGGACCAAATCAGATTTGAGATCAGTCTCTTTCGCCCACCGAAGTTTCCGGTACCTCCTTGGGGGAAGGAGGGCAAGAAAATCTCTGTTGGTTGGCAACTGAACCTCTTGCATTCCTGCGGCCAAAGCACCCAGCCGTCCCTCCTTCGTCTTCAACCTCCCTTGTATCCCTCATAAACTCCGATTCTCGTGACTATCGTAAAGCAAAGGCTTCGAAAACGGCTGCGTCAGCTTCCCCTTCACTGAACCAGATCGAGGAAAGCCCGTGTGACAGCCTCGCTTTCGCCGCTCTCTTATCGCTCATTCACTTGTATGTATGTGAAAGTCGGGTCCCTGGTCATATCACCCCCTCTCGTTTCGATTTCATTCACATCCAGCCACGTTCTAGAACCCCCAAACTAATTCATTCACTGGTACTGGGCGGTAGCTTCAAGTCACCTCACTACTTAAAGGATTACTTAGCCATGACTTCCCTTCCAATCCGTCGGTCTTCTCGACAGACATCTAGACAAGCCTCAATGGATCCGCGAAACGAGATCAATCCGCACCTGGACCACTACATCGGCATCGATGTAGGGACCGGGAGCGCCCGTGCATGCATTATCGATGATAAAGGCGACATTGTGGGAATGGCTTCGGAGAACATTGGTCTCTGGCAGCCACAGCAAGGATACTATGTAACTATGACCCCCCATCCACCCATTCAGCCCCTACCCCTCATAAGCTTGTGAACAGGGTCACCTTTATACAATCAGAAGTGTAAAGGATAATAGAGGCTAACAATTATAGGAACAATCTACTTCAGATATCTGGCGATGCATCTGTATCTCAGTTCAGCGAGCCATCAGCCAACACAATGTGAATGCTGATTCCATTCGTGGTATTGGTTTCGACGCCACTTGCTCCCTGGCGGTCTTCTCCGGTAAAAGCGACGAGCCTGTCTCCGTAACTGGCCCAAACTTCGATAGCGACCGCAATGTTATCCTCTGGCTCGACCACCGACCAGTTGACGAGACTGAGAAGATCAACGCGACAGGCCACAACTTGCTTCGCTATGTCGGAGGCAAGATGTCCATTGAGATGGAGATCCCAAAGGTCCTATGGCTAAAGAACAACATGCCAAAGGAAGTGTTTGACGGGTGCAAGTTCTACGATTTGACAGATGCCCTAACACACATGGCTACTGGCAATGAGAAGAGGAGTTTCTGCAGTGTTGTTTGCAAGCAGGGCTACGTTCCAGTCGGTGTCGACGGCAGTGTTAAGGGTTGGCAAGAAGACTTCCTGCAAGATATCGGACTCGGCGATCTCGCTGAGGACAACTATAAGCGCATGGGAGGTGTCAACGGGGTGGTGAGCTCCTTTCCTTACTTTCGGTATATATTGGAGAACCTCACTAACTTGTCATAGAACGGAGAGTACCTCAGCGCTGGAGAGTTAGCCGGAACCCTTTGCGAAAAGGCCGCTAATGAACTCGGCCTGCCCCCTGGCATCGCGATTGGAAGTGGTGTCATTGATGCCTATGCAGGATGGGTTGGCACCGTTGGAGCGAAGGTCCACCTTGGATCCGAGCAACTCAGCTCTGAGGTGGCTAAGAACGACCGATCACAAGCATTCACGCGCCTAGCTGCCGTAGCCGGAACCTCAACCTGCCACATCGCTATGTCGCCAAACCCTGTTTTCGTCCCTGGTGTCTGGGGTCCATACCGCGACACAATCATGCCCAACTTTTGGATGGCTGAAGGTGGCCAGTCAGCTACTGGTGAACTGCTCAAACACGTCATCGAGACCCACCCAGCCTTCAACCAAGCGCTGTCCGTTGCTCAGTCATACCACACCAACATCTATGACTACCTCAACGAGCATCTGAAGGAGATGGTTGCCGACCAGAACGCACCCAGCGTCTCATACCTCGGCCGCCATTTCTTCCTTTACGGCGACCTTTTCGGGAATCGCTCCCCGATCGCCGACTCCCGCATGTCAGGCTCGGTTATTGGTCTCTCTAGCGACAAGTCGGTGGATGGACTGGCACTCTACTACTATGCCACGCTGGAATTCATCGCGCTGCAGACTAAGCAGATTGTGGACACCATGAACAAGGCGGGCCACAATATCACATCCATCTTCATGTCCGGATCTCAATGCCAAAACGCCATTTTGATGGACTTAATCGCCTCGGCCTGCGACATTCCCGTTCTAATCCCCCGCTATGTCCATGCCGCCGTGTGTCATGGTGCTGCCATGCTGGGTGCTAAGGCAGCCAGTGCCGATAAGGATGGCAAGACAGAGGATCTATGGGATATCATGGACCGCATGAGCAAGCCGGGTAAGGCTGTCCACCCGACCAAAGATAAGCATGAGAGAGCCCTCCTGAAGGTCAAGTATGACGTCTTCCTTGAGCAATGTTATAAGCAGCAGGAGTACAGGAAGAACGTCGACGATGCCATTGGGACCTGGACCAAATCTTAGTTTGCTCGGGCAGTTGCGAATGTGGGGGGGGGGGTGGTTACACTGGCAGCTGTTTGCTAATGAGATACACAATTAATGAGAATGATGCGGGAAGGTGCAGATGATGACGGCAACGAGTGATAGACATAAAAGCATAATTCTTTTCCCTTCTTTCTATGCGGTTTCCTTCTTTCAAGCTACCGGCTACGGATTTCTTTTCCAGTTTTAGCGATATTATTTGGGATAGAGGTTGAGATCCCTTGCAACAGAGGGTGTCTAAACAATTATATTAATGACTTGCTCCCACAGCCTACACACAGAGTTCTCAATTCCCTTCCAACTTGTCTTCAAACTCCTCCTTTGCTTCTGCTTCATGACTTGGCTATCTTGCCACCACTACTGTCCTTACTCCCCCCCTCTTTTTCGTAGCAGAAGACTAGTAAGCAGTGTGTGATGTATATATATTCTGGTCGCGATAGTACCCCGTATTGACAGCGATAACAAGCCGAGCAAATCACGTACATAGCTATCGCAGCTTTATTCAAGAGAAAAGAGCTTCCCCCGCAATCTGCAATTCACTATTTTTTTCCTATTATTTTTGTGGATTTTTTCCTAGCTGTCCAGTGAGCCTGTAGCTACCTATTTTCCCATTATTATTAGAATTTCATGTGCACTCACTTTGCCTCGCAACAACCACAACCACATCCAACAATTCAACAATCGAACGCACAAAGAAACCAAAGGTTTTGTTTGCTTGCAACGAACCTTCAAAAATATCTGCAAAGAGCTTGAGAAGGCTTTATTGTTCAAACTAAGTCCTATCTTTTTTTCTCTGGGAAGGAGAGAAAACTTATACTATTCATTCACTTGTTGTACTTTTCACAAATGGTCCCACCAGCGAAAGTACATCGACCCCTCCATTGTACAGCAGTCTCTCTAGACTGTTAACTCTCCAAACGAAACCAACCCCACACGTTCAAATCTCTCTCTTCCTTGACTGAAAGGAAGGAGAGAACAGAGCATCGTTCAAGATGCCGAGAATTTCAGATTGGTATCTGTCTCTGGCCACGACGGTTGTCGATCTCGTCGGCGACTATGCGGGCAAGGAACTCTTCTTGATAGAGGGGGACTCACTTGTTCTACAATGTTTCGATGATTCGAAACTTGATTTTGAAGGTATATTTCTCTTGACTCTGGGAAACTGTTCTAGAAGTTCAGAACTCTTTCTTTTTATTTTACTTTTGCTCTGAATGGTGTGTTGACTTATTTTTTCTACCATTTCTAGATGGGTTCCAGCTCCTACAAGCTGTGTGGAATGTAGAGAGATTCCTCTCGAAGCTTATTCGCGCAAAGTGCAATTTTCACATTGTCTTCTTCAATGGTAAGCAAGACTAAATTCCTATCAAATTGACTGTTCGCTAAATTAAACCTATAGAGAACCGAAACCTTAGTACCCCGTCCTTCACAGAAGAGAGGTCACGGGAGAAGTATCGCCTAGCCAGAGATATCATCTACCACCACCTCGAGAACTCAGTACAGAACCAATTCCCAGAGCTCGTGGTGAAGACTTTCGAGTCTATATCCTCTCAGGAGTTCCATGACCATCTTCGCTCCGTTGGAGTGTACTTTGTCATGTGCCACAATGGTGTTTTGCAGAACATAGACCCTGACGATGTGGACGATGCCAAAGCAGCCAAGGCTCTGCAGAGGAAGTGGTACCATGTGATCAAACAGTTTATGTCTTTCAATTTTAATGTGGCTACGATCAATGAGATTGAGTGGAGGGATACTAAGGTAGGTTGCGGGGTTTGCTACAGGGATGTTTAAGTTTTATATCGTTGCTGACTTGGATATGCGATAGGTGATAACTAGTATCCTTCAATTCCGAAGTGCCACAGGGTTGATAAGCCTTGAGAATGGGGAATCAAACGAGGAAGCCGAAGAAACG